TTTTTATAAAAAAAAATTTATGAAAATATTAAATTAAGCTTATAAGACTCATTATATTAAGTTGATCAAAAAATCACTTTTTACATAAATTACTTTTCCCTTAATATCACAACCTTTTTTCCTTACGTAAAAAAAAAAAATTTTTCTTTTTGAAAAAAGAAAAATGAGAAAAATAATTGAATTTATTATTAAACACATTGATAATAATACGTTCAAATTTAAGCAAGACATAGCAAGGCTATTACAAGCATTTATTATGGATGGACACTTAAACGTTCCTCAACCCAGTGATCCGATAACGATATACAATACATTGTCGAATATCAACAGGCCTAGAAGCAGAGCGACGCACACCCGAGGTGTCTTACGTGTTACCGTGTCACAAATAGCACAACAAATCCAAATATATGACGTGAATGTCATTAGTTGGGCGACAAACATGTTGAAAAATGCCATGACTTCTAACGATAGAGAAGGCTTTCACTCTTTGTCGACTCAAGTAAATATCATTATTGATAGACAATAATGAACGATTAAGCATTCTCTTTTTTTCTTATGATCCTTAAATCGAAAATATCTCGTGTAAAAGTTTTTCTTTAATTTGCATAGTGGTGAAATAACATACTTTTAGATGTGTAATATAATGGCAAAAAATCGATTGTCTCTTTTTTTTCATAAATCTGAATTATCGCAGTGTTCGTGTGTACATTTCATTTTGATCTTATTTTTTTTTTTTGTTTCGATTATAATAAAGGAGATAAACTTTTCTCTCTTATTTATATTCTTTATCAAAGATTTATCATTATTCAAAGAACGTATGATTATCGTCATACGACTCATTTGCATCATTCATGTAAAACTGTTCAACGATACACGTTATATAATGAGGGTTACGTGGTTAATTGATCTTTACTGTTTTAACAATATTTATGCGTTTGATAATTGTAATTAATTTTACAAAAATTCATACCTAAAAGGGAATCTTCGTTTATTAGAGTTTCGGAACTCGGGGCTTTTATAACAAAGAAGAATATTCTCACGGTCTAATTCGGCTAATCGAATATAAAATTCTCGAATGATGTGCTTGAAACATTTAGTTTGTATCGCTGGCATATGTAATAAAGGGGTTAACGGTAGAAATTTGTTTCAGGTAAATTGTAGATATTATAGATGGTAAGGCTGGGCGATGTTCATGACGTATTATTTGTGCTACCGAGATCTGATCGGTAATTAAAAAACATATGCAGATTGTTCGATTCGAACCAACCTTCGCATTTGTAAACGCATAACGCTAGAAAGAATTCATTATCATATCAAGCTTTACGGCATAACATGGCGCAAAATGGAAAGGACAGAAAAAATTTTTCGTTAATGCTAAATCTGGCACAAAATAAATTTGGTTTTTTCCCCCCTAGTATATAAATGCGCCAATTTCACGTGTCTATGTGGAAATAACAAGGAACCATCCCCAAGACTCCGGGTTTAATAAAAACCTGGGTCTATTTTAAGCATCTTGCATACAATCATCACGATACATCTCATTATTTATAGAGCAGGGGTCGTTCATTATTCATTTTATCACATAAAAAACGCCGTTAAACAATGTATGTTAGCTCCGATTGAAAATCCTACATAATAATATATATTAATATTTTACATGTAGTTTTATATTAATTTTTATAAAGATCGGTTTCATTTATTTTTTAATTTAAGTTAGCTCCGATTGAAAATCTTCATAATAATAATAATATAACATTTATTTAATGACTTGTGCTTACCTAAAATAAGTTTGGTTTATTTTGACTATTGATTCTTTTAAACATTTCACAGATCGGTGTAGGATCGACGACAATTAAAAATCATGGGTTACGGCGAAACGTGACCCCTGCGATATCGGCGATTGATCGGTGATAAAAATTGGCATTAAGTAGATCACGTGTCACAGATACTAAACTTTTATAAAAGTTTAATAAGTTACGTTTTTAATACTAAAAAAAAAATGATCTTAAAAGATATGTTAAAATTGATAACAAAGTATTAATTCAATCCAAAAAATATAAAATATCTATAAACTTTAAGATTATCAAAATTCAAAATATTACTAACCAAGAAATTAATAAATCAATATAACAAATTTCAGATTATAACTATATATCTATTATAATTTCTTAAATTATAAATTATAAATCACAAGATTTATATTTTCAAATAATAAAAATAAAGAAAAAATATTAATGTTTATTAAATATCATTTTAAAATGTTATTAAGTTTTATTTTAATAATTATTACTTATATTTAAAATAAATTTTTTTAATATATTTAAAATTATATAGTGTAAAATAATTTTATTAATAAATACATTCTAATATAATTTTTAAATATTACATTTAATATATAAAAATATTAACAGTTTACTTAAAAATTTTAACTTTATAGTAAATCCAGTAAAATATTGTATTATAGATGATAAATCTAAATATTTATAATATTATCTAAAATATTAAACTTAAAATAATCTTATAGAATATACAGTCAACTCTTAATATAGCGAATTGGTCAATCAAATCTCTTAAAATCTTCACTATAGCCTTATAGCGAAGTTGAGATCTAGGATATAGAGTTTGTTATAAAAAGAGTAGCATTCTAGAGGAGTAAGCAGAACATCTTCAGATATGTATAAAGGTCTCAATAGTGATAATATAATTCACATAGTACCAGTATTCATATAAATCAGAGTGTAATGAAGAAAAGCGTAATAATGAAGATAGCTCATTAATAAAAATTTTAATGATAAATGATTTGAGTTTACTTAAAATAAAGAACGTGATAAAAGAGAATACATCTATTGATATCATAAACTAAATGGTAAACCAATTGATAAACTTATTTTTAATAAGGATTTTGAGGTTACAGTTTTTGTTTAAATCCAGAAAATTACTAAAAGTTTGTGCTATGAAGAATTATTTGAAAAAATCACAGATGAATATCTCAATAGTAATATTGTTAAAACAAAATAATATTTCAGATGTAGGAATACTATTAAGAGCTAAAGTTAGTGAAAATATATAGCATCTAACTTTTATTAATTTATTTGCTATTTTATTGAAATAGTTTTCAGTATACGCTCTGATTTTATGAAGTGAGATTTAGAGATTAAGGTACTTAATGATATATTAGATAAGCTTTTAGGTTATATAATTAGAGATTTTTTCAAACTTTCTTGATGATAACTGGTTAAGAAACATATATTTATTAAATCTGTGAATGGTAGTCTAGTTATCTAAATAAATATCTACAACCGTTGCATTAAAAGATGTTACGAGAATTGTAAGGAGAATATATATTTTAGTTCTTATTGAAGAGGGCTAGTTGACAATTACCACTTTAAAGGGATAAAAATTATAAGCAAAATTCATACAAATCTAACATAATCCTATCCTATAATTGTCTGTTTGAAGTCTTATTAAAGAATCATCTGTGTAAATATTTAATGATGATACATTGTTAAAGGTGGATTGAATGTGTTTAAGTGTTAAAAAATGTATTGAGAGTTTAATGTTGAGGTTGATAATGTTATATAAAAGTGGATTTGTTAGAGTATGAGCACTTTATAAGCCATGGAAAATCATATAAGTGATATAAGTGATCTCCATAAGTGAATGTTTAAGTTAATCTTTGAGCACGTGTGATTATTCAGATACTGAACTTTGAAGGTACTATTATAAAAGAAGCTAATTATACAACTCTCAGATTCTATTAGTCTGTATGCTGAGTAAACATTTAGAGCATTTTAAAAGCTTACAGATATTATTGTTATTAAAAGAATAGGCAAAATGCTGGCAGATAAAATAACTGTTATTCAAGACATCAACTATAATTTTACCAAAGGAAGGGTTATTGAGTGTTGGATTCTACAAAGATACAAATTCTTTCTTTTGATTATTCAAGATAAATACTTGAGAAATATGTTTGTAATATGATAAGGAAGAAGCTAATTTAAATTTAGTTTTGAGTGTTCTATATATATGATTTTCTAATACAAGGTTTTCTAATCTATAAAAAAAAATGGATGAACTAAATCTCTTTGAGCTATAATCGAAATCTCTGAAAAGAAAATTGAATGTAGTAATTAGTTAATAGTCTGAAAAAGAGATTAATTGATCTAAATTATGGTTAGCGAGGATCTTATTGAATTTGATTAAGAAATTAGAAAAAAGAATTCTGTAAATAGATTGGATACCTCCTACTATTCTATTTATAAGTAGAAATGAGGTATTGAAGTTTTAAAAATATAGAATTGATGAGTAAAAGATAGGCATCAATTAAATTTTTATAGGAAAGTTTGTTAAAGGAATGTGATTAATAATCTAAGGGAAGTGTAGTAAGAATATTATGTAATTATAGTTAAAAAAATCAAATTAAAGAAATGTTCTTATAAAAGGAGAAATTGTTGAATTAGTAAATGAGAGTGGTTGAAAGTGATTTAATTTGAAGTGATCAAAAGTCATTTAAATTATAAAATTGCTTGAAATTTAATAAAGTATTAGAAAGGGTGGAAGCAAATTTATTTTTGTATTTGAAAAGCGTATAAACAGATGCAAAAATTTTGAGATATTCATTTTTTGAGAGAATGTCAACTGCATATAATATTCTAATAGAGAATACAAGATCATATTAATGATATACAAAAGTTGTTTATCCATTAATAGTTTGTATCTCATAAAGGTAATAAAGCAGTTCATATCAAAACTGTATTATTTTTGATATAAGTCTGTGATCATTGACTATTGATTCATACTTCTAAGAAACGAACTGACTCATCTTTAGGTGTAATATTTATTGTGGTTAAAGTAAAATTGACAGGAATAGATAGTATAATAGTGCAAAAGGTAGTCAGTAGTTTAGACTTATCTTTATTTAATGCAGATCTGATAAGATCATAAAATTTATCTGCAATTTGTAAGATATCTTTCAGATCTTATTTGAAACTAGCAATTCAATTCATATTATCTGTAAAAGTTAGTAAAGAGACAAAGGCTGACATTGATTAGGTATTTATAGTAGTGACATCAAAGGTCTAAGTATGTTCAATTTTATATTCATTTTGTAAAATTTTTACTTCACAGAGTAAGTGGTCCAAGTAGATACATCATACTAGAGGAGAAATAACTTTACCTTAATCGATTCTGATTTTGATATTGTATAGTTCTGAGATACCATGTGCTGTAAATACAGCATTTTTCTGTGAAGTAAAAGATTAATAATGAGATCAGTTATCAATTTAGGAACTTTAATTTAATTGAGAGCTATGCGAAGAAAAAATAAATTAATCTGATCATATGCTTTAGAGAGGTTTTGAAGCAGAATTCAAATTTCTTTATTATTTTCAATAGTATCCTCTAGTAACATAACAATTTTAATAGGTAGTTTGGTTGAGCCTCTTAGGAATCTGACGAAGTTTTTTCCTTTGAGAATATTATTGTTAGTTAATATGCGTGAGAATTTATTAGTAATAATCTTAATAAGGTCTTTATGAGCAGTTTTTAATAGAGTAATAGGTTTAGTTTTAGTAATATTATACTTTCATTTTATGGGTTTGAGGATGAGATAGATATATGCGATTTTTTATTCATTAGAAATGTCATCTATTAAAAAGTATATGCAAATAAGTTTCTAAAGTAATTGCTGTAGTTTGGTTCTAAGTGAGTAATCATTTCATTGATAATTTCAGAAAGACTAGTAGTTTTGTTATTAGGAAGCTTTTTGAGAACTGCCAACTATTTCTCATAGGTGAGGGATTGCATAAGATTTGAATAGTGCTAATCATTTACATAATATTTAGGTTTATATTAGTTAGTCTATCTAGAAAACATATTGTGTATTGGAGTCAAAGGAATAGTAAAGTTCTGAAAATGGTTAATTACAACCTTCTTGATTTCTTCTGGATCAATGGTAAATCTATTTTCTCCTAAATTTTTATTTTTGATGAGTAAGTAATTTAGTACTATAGCACATTTTTTCTTGTTCAAAATGGAGTTAATTATTTTAAAAGTATCACTTTGTAGGTTGTTACAATGCTTATCAATGAAGAATTTAATTGTGATCTCATTAAGTTTTTGCATATCAATCTTAACTAATATAGATAAAAAGTTATAAAGATTTTTAATCTTTGTTTTAACTTCGATGATATTATCTGTATATAAAACAGGAGAAAATATACATATTGAGAGTTCAATGAGGTAATCAATTTTCCATCATATTCTTAATAGTAAATCACTCTGTAGAATTAGGCTAACAGCTTATTTGTATTTTTAATTCCCTGAAGCTGGGTAAAATTGAGCTAACTTTTTGGATGGCCATAAGGGAGACTGGTTAATTAAAGGATTATTTACCTTACTTTTATGATAAAATCTAAACTTTAGGTATAAAACTTCTATTGACGATCAGAATAGCAGTTTTAATTTCAGTCTATAAAGTATTTACACTGCTTTTATTAGTAGGGAGTTAGAAAAGCAATTAAGGTTATGGTATCTATAATGAAAATTAGTATAGACAGCGAATTCAATGCATTTGGACTGATTTATAACTCTTAAATTAGGGATTTGTCTTTTATTCTATAGCAAATAAAGTCTAGCGTTTGATTGCATTCAACAATCAGTGAATGAAGTGAAGATAATCTTATAGTCAAAGGAATTAAGTATAGGTGTATTCAAGTAGAAGTATAGAAATTCAGAAGTGAAATTGGAAAAGGCAAAATGGTATTAATTCTAGAACTGTATGAGCTTAAATGGTATATGAGTTGAGATATATCATGACATATGTCATAAAGGTCAAGAAAGTTCATAGTAAATAATTTTTTATAAAAATTTATTTACCAATAATAAATACATTCAGTATTAACGTATGACCAATAAGTGTCAAGATTTGCATTAAAATCACCTATAATAATGGTCTTGAAATCTAATTTAAGACTGTTTTTAACATGTTTGATAATTGTTTTATATAACTTTAACTATTTTATTTTAGTTTGAGATTCTGTTAAAACATGTAAATAGACATAAAATATATGTAATTTTATATAATCAGATAAGTACAAGTTTATATAGATAAATCAATTATTATTTAGATAGGCTTTTTAAACATAAATGGCCTAAGATTTTTTGATAAGAATGCTAATGCTAGCTTATGAGTTAAGATGATTACTTCAAAAGAAGTGTAATGTGATCATTTGTGTATCAAAAAGTTTGGTTAAACTTATGACAAGTTTCAGTGAGATCTACAAAATCTATATTAAAATCTATAAATGTATCATTAATAAAAATAATTTTTAATTAAACATTAAAGAGAATTAATATTATGAGTAGCAAAAGAAATAACAGGTGTGCCTTTTGAATTATTAGTATTATTGTTAGGTTGATTATTATTATTATTATTATTATTTACTGTAAGAATATTGTTATTGATATTATTCATGATTAGAGTTAAAAATTTGGATAACAATTATTAAGAGAGGGAGCTGAATAATGTTTTCAATTGTGTCAACACTTCGAGTATTTGAACATTAATAATCTGCAACTGCTTTTATTATTCAGCAATAATGAAAGCTTATTCTTCAATGATTGCTTAAGTTTTAGGGTCGATAGGAACAGATGACCTAGTTTGATCTTTATCTGAAGAAGAACTGGCAATTCTAACTCTCTTCTATAAGGTAGAGTTTGATAAAGTAGGTTAAGGGGTAGAAAAATTTTGAGTAGCATTTACAGACTAAAAAGAGGGAGAGATATGTATCAATGATTGGATTTTTTCAAGTTTAGCTATATGAATTTCTAGATCAGACATAACCTTTTGCATGCCTGTAAGTATATTAAGAATTTTATCTGACTTATCATTAGTCATATTGTTATTATTAGAATTATAGACTAAGACATCAATCAATAAACCTGCAGAACCATTATTTTTAGACTTTCCTTTATTATTTGTAGGTTTTTTTTATCTTTAAGAAAAGTGGACTGATGTTGAAATTGTTGACAGTTATTGTTTTTCATAATCAAGAATCTTGATCCTGCTGGCTTGAAATAGTTGTAAAGTTTTTGAATGAAGAAGAGCTTGTAAATCAGAATTTTAAGTTGATCCACAGGATCAATGTTTATAATTAGAACATTTGGGCATTTTATAATAATGTGTTTAGGAGAATCATATTTGTAATAACATTTTGTGTTAGTAAAGTATCATTGAAGTTCATTATTGCTGAATGCAAATGACTGTTTGATAGTATTATTGAGGTCTGCTTCTATCTTAAAATAAAAAACTGTGAAAGGCCGCAGCTTATAATTATTTGAACGTGAAATGTAAGAGCTTTAGCTTTTATAGCTAAAGTGATATTCTGTAGATCTTCAGCTGAAGTATTAAAGGATAAGTTGGTAAGTCTCATTTTGAAGTTATTTTGAACTTGTTTCAGAGTCAAACTGACAGGATACACTCAGATGCAATCATTATAGATAAAATGTGACCATTGAGTATAAAAAAGATCATACTTTTGGGATCTTTGTAAGTGATGTAAGCTTATTGCCAAAAATCTCTAGTAAACATCTATACAATAATGATCTTATCATATTTAGTGAATATATTTATGAGTTGGTCTTTTTTAAAACTAAGGTAAATATTTGTATATAGAGCATGCGTTAGTAGAACTGCATATTTTCTTTATAAGTTACATAACATTCTAGCTAATTGATATCTAAATCAGAAAATTTAGCATTAAGGGTTGATTTTATTGATTACTGATTATTTAAGTAGATTATGATCAATTGAATAAGATTAATATATCGAATGTTAATCTCTCTGAATATGTTATTAGAAGCAAAGTAAGTATTAATAATTTTTGAGAAAGGTATAATGGGAGGTCTTTGGAGTTTTTAGCAATAGTAGCAATAGTGGCCGCATAAGCAAATAGGGTTAAACAAGTAATAATAGTGAAATTTTATTTTAATCTATTTATATATTGGTATCATCTTCTATGAAAAGATATTCATCCTTGTTCAAGACATTAGTAGAAATAGATGTTAACAGTTTGAAAAAGTTTTTAATAAGTTGTGTTCAAAACTGAGGACAGATTAAGCTGTTCTCAGTATTAAAAGATGAAGTAACTAGGTATCAAAAAGTTTGTTAGTGTTCTGTTAGATTAAAATGATGCATATTTTTTTGATGTTTGTTTGTTTTAGTTTTTTCTGACCATGTTGAATAAAAGTAACTTTTAAAGTAAACTCTTTTTTGGTAATAAAAGTGTATTTGAACGTATATAAAACTATAAGACTAACTAGCAAAGTCATAAATATAATAAAACTTAAAGGGCAAGCATTTTTATTTTTTTAGACTTTTTTGCGAAAAGTGATTGATAGGAAAGAGTTTTTTCAATAAACCAAAATAGATTATAATATATTTTTAAATATAATTTATTAACTGGGAAAGGTCATAGGAAGACTTTCATGTGATTGGCTGATTAAGTTACACAAAATTTGTAATTGATATTGTAAATATTAATAATTTCAATTTTATTAATAAAGAATTTTAATATAATAATAATTTATAATTATACATCATAGTAAGTTTAATTATGCATATTGTATAATATATAAAAGTGTAAGATATATAAAAATAGAACTTTTATATATACTTTTATCATTTGGTATTTATAAAATAATTTGTGTTATAAGTATAGTCACTACTAAAAAATATAAATTAATATAATATATTATATATTTTAATAAACTAAAAATATTAAAATAAAATTGTTAAATATACTTTAGATAAGAAATTAAACTATAATAATTAATTATTAAACAATAATTATAAAGGAATATAATACATTCATTAAAATATCAAATAATACATATTTTAACATTTATAAACAAGCTATATAATATAAAAAAATATTGATAATATAGAATCTTTACAAAAGAAAGGGAAAACTGCCAGAAAAAATCAATTTTACTTTTATATATCAATATGATTTTTTAGGTTAAAATATGTTCAGATTTAGCATTAACTTATTTATTTATTTATTTTTTTTAGCTGTTTCTATTGCAAAGGTCTCATATATACTATTTCTTAAATTGTTTAGCAGGCAAATTGCTTATAAATTAAAAAAAAAGTATTAATTTCTTAATAAAATATAAAATGTTATTAATTTTAATATATAGTTTAATAAATATTTTAATCAAGTTTATTAAAATGTTTAAAAATAATTTAATTTTAAAATCAAGTTTTAAAAAAAATTTTAAAGTTCATGTTTATAGTCTAAAAAATTAAGGTTTTTTATTTGACTGACTAGACTCGTTAGAAGCTCAATATATTTGTATACTAATTGAATCACTTTACTACTAAAATTGTAATAATAAAAGTTTTTTTATATGATAAATTTTATAAATAAATCCGGTTTTTCAAAACCGATTAATCGGTCGATTACAAAAATTTTAATTTAAAATTAATTGTAGAAACGGCATTAAGATAATATATTTCATCAAGATATCTAATTTTTTATCTCACAGTTTAAACATGTAATTAGCTTAATAAAGATTTAAAAATTAAATAAAAATCAAAGAATTATATTTGTTAATGCAATTCGGTTTTTCGATTTGGTTTATTTAAATTCGGTGTAAATGCGGATCTCAAATCAAAAGTGTTTAAAACCTCGTCAAAAGTTAACGATAAATTTTGAAATTTTTAGCTTTTTAGTAACTTGGATTCTTTATAAAAAATATATATTTATTAAATAAGCAGGAAAATTTGCCTGCAATCCTTACAACCTAGGGGATAGGAATCAAAAAAAAAAAAAAAAAAAACATTTGGAGAAAAAAAAAAAGACTTCGAACGATTATAAACTAACGACGGGCCGGATTTAAAATAAAGGTGTCATTATAAATTTCGGAATATTCATTTCAGGTTGAAAAATAGGAATTAAAGTTGGTAAATGAGGGCGTGGTTGAAGAAGGGGGATATTGGTAGTATTAGAGGGGTTAGGGGTGAAATGAGTGATTTTAGGTTGTTTAGAATTACGGTTACGTTCTAGGTGTTTACGATGAGTGAGCCAACATTCCTTGGATCCTATTGATAGCACGGAATTTATTAAATTTCTTTTCCATTGCCGTTTGGCAATGGGACCATTTAATTTTGTCGGATGCTTTGGTATTTTTGTTCACCCATTGATAGATGAAATCCTTTTCTTCCTGCGTGAAAGGACCATTCGTAACTGATCAAGAAAGAAAAACATATATATTTTAGTTTTTTTTTTTTTTCAAAAAAAAAAAAAAAAAAAAAATAGACAAATTTTACTTACTGCGAGGGTTAAGTTTATATTCCATCTAAAATTTATGATTAAACGAAAGGAATAGAAAAGTCATGAATGAAATGTCTAGTGAAAAAAAAAGTATCTTGCTATTAAATTTTGGTAACTTACCTATGACAAATTTGTTTTGATGAGAATTTAGGAATACGGTGACTCAATTCCACGTACGGTTTCCTAAGAGTTCTCCCTTCACCTTGCATAAATTCCTTGATTAGATTATCGTCCTATAAACGAGATAAAATCAATGGTAAATAAATATATCTTTTTAATTTATTATTATAAAAGTTAAACATACTTTTAAATCAAAAATAGACATGATTTCGATATATTGAAAAAAATATATAATGAAGAAAATATTGAAGAATTGTATATTGAAGAAAATATATTTTGAAAAATTGTATATTGAAGAAAATGTATATTGAAGAACTGTATATTGAAGAAAATGTATATTGTGTTCATTTAATGGTTTGTTTTTATTTATTTATTTTTTTTAAAAAAAATGTTGGAAGAAGTCGTTCGAAGTCGTTGTTCTTTTATATCGAAAAAATTATATTATTAAAGTAAAAAATTCGTCAAAAACGTTCATTAAATAGTTGAATTACCAAGAATTTGTTATTTTTTTTTCATCCCTTATTCTAAGAATCTTTTTGTAGAACACCCGTAGAAAAAAAAAATTTTTTTTTTACTTGCTTTGTTTAATAAAACCCGTTTTAAATTTTTTGTATTGCCGATCATACCTCAATTTATATCATTTGGCTGAACTCGTAATCAAAGAAAAAAAAAGAAAAAATAAAAGACCTTGTATCGTTATAAAAAAACCAATGACCATTCGAATACTATGAGACAAATATATATATTTTTTTTATTTCTAAGAAATCCTCATCATATATGGACAAGACTTTTTTATTTCACCAAACTAAGTAACAATTTATTCACCAATTGGAAAATTTAGTTCGTATGAGGTATTTATTTACAAAATTATTGAATGGATTCGAACGCAAAGTAAATACAATACTGAGATATCGCCATTTTACCTTTTTTTATTATATTGCTTTTATATCTTAATTATTTTCTTATGCTTTAGGGGTAAATTTATTTTAAAGTTCAGTGGGCTTTTTTTGTTTCATGATATCGGAATCTTAGAATACCTCTCCTTTGCGGAACCGTCTCTTGATTAAAAATAAACATTTATGTCATACATTGGTCAGGCGCTTCTTAAAGAATTTCCTCAAAAGAAAGAAATGTAAGGACGCAATAAGACACTACATGAAAACATTGCTTACGTCAAGACATAAAAAAAACGAATTTTTATTTCAAAATTCCGTAAAACTACCCCTTCGTAAATAAATGACTCACCTTCAATCATATCCATCATTTCACAATGACGTTTTTATAATAAAATATTATTTATTTTTTCCCCCTATTTGTTAGAGATACGGTCGCGAAGCATAGAATTGAAATCTAGATTCGATATAACATTTTGTTTGTTCAAAAACCATAAAAAATTTGAGTAACAGAGAATTTTATTCGAAAGTGACACAAATAAATCTGGGTCACTAAGCTAATACTCATGTGATACCGACATTATTAGTCCGGAGTGTAACGAAGGACTATATACTTCTATGCAAGGTAGTTACAAATATGGTCACGTGACGATGTCCGGTTGTCCGCACGCGTGATTTTTGATTGGTTGATTTTGTATCCGCATATTTATATGAAATAAAAAAAACTCCGGACTTTACAACAGTTTCCGTTTCCTAGTATACTTAATAACGATTAGTGCACCGAAAAAAGGGTCGGGTACACGACAGGGTGGATTATTATAAAGAAATAAAGTAGGTTCGTATTGTGAAACAATTTACAAATAAATTTTTCGTCATAAACTTGTGAGTACAAAATATTTGGGAAAGAAGAAGTAATTCGATCTAGGCATCCATTTTTTATAACTAATTTTTCAAAATTGGTTGAACCCACGCGTTTCTAATGACAACGTAATTGTCATTTTGCCACATGCACATCAATCATTTCCTAGGAGCTTACGAAAAAGGTAGTACTACATGTAAAATTATCCTCACAATATGTAATTTATATAAACTTCCCAGTTTCCAATACACTTCATGATGCAAAATATGTTTAAAAATACAAAGTGAAAGGTTCTGAGAGCCGTTTTTAATTCTACTATTTTCAAGTCAAGCCTTATATACTCTATAAATTGAACTTTACTTTTTTATTTATTTTATCTTTTGACGACTTATTCTATCTAATATCAGGTAAATACTAAGTAGATTGTGACTGTTGAGTCTACTGTTTCTGTATGGGATCGTTTATATTCTTGCTTGCAATCAAAGTAAAATTAGTTTTATGCTTGTCATTTTATGTGCTAGTAGTAGAAGAATATCCATTATGCCATATACGTCGCAAACTAAAAGTTGGTAATAGAAAAGGCTGAATAGTCAATAAGTTAGAGAAAAATGTATTCTTTAATAGGAAGGACATTAATGCTCTATCTTTATTACTGAGTATATATTGACGCCTTAGCGTTTATAGTTGAGGTTGCATATGATTACTTTTTGTCTCTGTTACTCACTATTGTTTAATTATTTATTCTTTTTCAATAGAGCTAATGATAGAAAAACCAAAACATGAGCTAGCTTAAATCCAATGAAAGATCCTTTTTGTTAATTTGCAAAGATTGTATCTTGAAGGTCATGTATAATATCAAAGTCATCAAAATTATCATCTTTTTTTTAATTATTGGGACCTGAGACATTGGGCTTAAACCAATCCATCAAGTTCTTTATTCCTTAGAGATTTTTCTTACATCTCGATAGGTAATATCAACTCGGTTATTGAATACTTCCACTGAAAGGTTCTGAGAGCTGTTTTTAATTTTACTATTTTTTAAGTTAAGCCTTATACTCTAAAAATTTACTTTTTATTTATTTATCTTTTGATGACTTACTCTAACTAATACTAGATATGTGAATAGAATGTGAAATAAAAACTAGTTTTATGCTTTCATTTTACATTCATGATAATAGTAGAAAAATATCTATAATACTACAGACTCCTGTCAAAAGTCTCTGAACACCTTTTAGTTCAATATAAAACTCAAAATTTTAAAGTTTATTGAACAAAAGTTTATTAATATATTTATTAATGTATGATATGCTATACATTTTGTACTAAGTAATTAGTATTTGGTCAGACCTCTATTTGCTTCAATTACAGTCCAAATTCACTGCAGTATACTATCAATCAAATTTTTAATAGTATATATAAGAATTTCTCGCCATACCTTCTTAACATATCGGTCGAGTTCAACAAGATTTGAAGGCTTTTTTTTCTTTTTACGAATGCTTTTCTTGACATTAGTCCACAGATTCTCAATTGGATTAAGATCTGAACTTTAAGTCAACTATAGAAGTATGTGTAGATCATTTTCTGTATGAAATTTCTTTGCAAATTTCATTTTATGAAGGCGAGCATTATCCTTCTAGAATATACCATTACCATTTGAAAATACACGTCTCATAGTTAGCATAACGTGCTTATAAATGATGATAACATGTGAAGCACCATTTGCTGTTCTAAATAATGAAATAATGGGTCCCAAGCCTTATCTTAAAAAGCATCTTCAAAACATTCAGCCAGAGCTATGTTTTACTGTAGCAGAAATACAAGAAATATTTCACTTTTCCTGAGGTTCCTGTCACACTTGACTACATCAGCTTTGTTGAAATTGAGAAAAGGTCTATTCATCACTCCACATGACTTTTGACCAATCATCCTTTGTCCAGCTTTAATGATTCAAACACTATACAAGACGTGCCTTCATATTTGCTGATGAGATTAGAGATTTTTATCGAGTAAGACAATTGTTTAGCCAACTGCACAAAGTATTTAGCCAATAATGCAAGCTGAAACATCTTAGCTGGTCTTTTTTTTCCAAAGTTATTGAACTTCTATATGAGCAATGATTTTTTTCTTTATTATTAATTACAAGTTGCTTGAGTCAGTTTCATTATGAAGGTTCAATAAAAGGTGATTGATCAGAACAAGGTTTTGAATTAGTAATTCTGGTATCATCTATCCTTTTAAAGTATCAAATACTGTTAACACTTCACAACCAATGGTCTTAGAAATAATTTGATAACTATCACTATATTAACAGCAAAAAAATATAGTATCGTGTTATTCTGCTATTAATTCTTAGGTCATTTTTGTTGTTTTCAAAAGATTAAAGTTTATTTTAATTTAAAGTCAAAATAAATAAACCAACTATGTATTTATTAGGTTTGACTTATGTAAACAAAGTTTAGAATATCATATAATCACAGTATTATAAAGTCACATAACATTATCCGTATAAAATCACACCTAAAAAATAGTGTTCAGAGACTTTTGACGAGGGTCTGTATATACATTACAAACTAAAAGTTAGTGATAATCAATGCGTTAGAGGAAAATATATTCTTTAATAAAAAGAACATTAATGCTCTGTTCTCTACTATTTGAGTGTTTAATGATTCTGAATATAGAGTTTGCACATGACTATAAATTTGTTTTTGTTACTCACCATTGTTTAATTATTTATTCTTTTTCAATGAGCTAATAATAAAAGACCAAAATATGAACTAGCTTAAATCTAATGAAAGAATAAATAAATATGAGCTACCCTTCCTTAGTAAAAAAAATAACGCACCTTTTTATTTAAATTTGTGAAATTCTTTCTATCAATAGTTTTTAAGAGTCATCTAAACAAAGAATTGTTGAGATCATGTCTATTATCTGATTCAAAATAATTTATAATCTCTATAGTAAATTCTTTAAAAAAAATCATAGTAAAAAATTGTAATAAAATAAATTTTTAAAAATAAAGTTTTTTAAAAAATTTGTCACCACCGTAATTAAAATAAATTTAAAAAATAATTAAAATCTTTAGTAAATAAATTCAAATTTTATTTTCATTGCAACTTTTCGTGATAATTAAATCAACTTTTTTTTAGAGTTTTTTTTTAAGAAATGCTATTTATTTTTAAGATATTATAAAATTTCTGCAGTATGTTCACCTTCAAAAAATGCATAAAATTTCACATGATATAATTTGTCACTTTTATACGTCATATGTATATCATAATTAATTTTAACCAAATACTATAATGCTAGTCATTTTTTAAAGATTACGCAAGAAAAATCACTTCATGCTATTTATAAGTTTTAAATTTCAGTTATTTTAAATCAGATAACTTCAAATATTGTGATTTTAAAAATCTTTCTAATTCATGTGATCCTAAATAATTTGTTGCCTATGTT